CACGCACGCACGCACGCACGCACGCACGCACGCACGCACGCACCCGGAGCAGTAGGCAGCCATATTGCTGCGGCGCCTGGGGAGCAGTTGGGGGTTCGGTGCATTGCTCAAGGGTCTCCCCTCAGTCGTGGTATTGAGGGTGGAAGAGAGCGCTGGTCATTCACTCCCCCCACCAACAATCCCTGCCAGTGCCGAAACTCGAACCTTTGGACTGTGTGCTGTGACACATTGCCCTGGTCATTACTGCTGTAGCTGCTGGTGATTTGTCACATTGTGGCCTGCATGATCTGCATGATTAGAGACTCCAGTTATGAGCAAAACAACATACAACCTTGAGTGCGATACAAACGAGACTTTATTAACTACACTAAACACTTAAACTATTCTAACACACACACACATACAGTTTAGCAATGGAAAGAGAGCTTAAGCAGAGTACAGGAATGCAAGAAGTTTTGTATTGTTTGAGATTCATCAGTTCAACAGCCTTGAGCAAACCATCAGTTTCTTAGTTGTAACACACCCTTCACGAGTTTGCTCTGCAGATAATAAAGTGGGATAAATGGTATGCGTATTTGGCATGCTGTCCGTGGAGAGGGCTCAGAGCATGGTAATTTCTCCCAAACCCGGAGTCCTCCCCCATGTCCGGTGAGAGCGCTCTGAACTCGGTATTTTGCCCGGACCCAGAGCGCTCCCTCCCCTAGGGTGGAATGGGCGGTAACACTTTATAATAACTTTCAATAATAAATCATTAACAAACATTATATAATGCTTAATGGATCATTAGTTACTATATATTCAAAGAGTTAGAAACATGAGATAATGTGCTTGTTAATGTTTACTAATAAACTTATTAAACATTACACTTAAAAAACAAAAGGTTCTTCATCGGTTCTTCAGCGGTTCTTTGGATTCGATGAGGTGCTATATAGCACCACTACCGTAAAACCTGTAAGCCCCTGTATAGTTCTTTAAAGGTTCTTTAACTTTCGCTTAGTCTCTTAGTTTAGTTGGGGAAAGGGTTCAAACAACATTAAAATACAGTCTATTTCTTGAAGATATAATTTTGTTTTTTGCCCCCATAAGGAAATATTCCAGGGCCCCCACATGAGACCTTTGACCTCAGAAAAAAAGGACCTCTCCACAAACAGCAACACCAACTTCACACATTACTAACCAGTTAGACTTTATTTCTGGAGTATCTAAAACAGAAGTTCTTTATTGAGAATTAAGGTTTAGATGTTTTTTTTTTTTTAAATTTACCGTTTTGGTGAATAGTGTGTGCTTTAGTTGCCTCTTGACCCTTGACTTTAATTTTAAGTTAAAATAAGTTTGTCTTTGGCTATCGCAACAGTGTTTATAAAGCACATATGGTTGCATTTTATCAAAATCTGTAGTTCTTTTATGAGTTTTATATTATTGCAGTTCTACGATACTATGTGACAATGTGAGAAAATTATATAAACCACTTTTAGAATTATGGGTTATAAAGAGGTTTCAATTCTGTTACTCATAGACATGAAGAATCAGCATGTGAATCTCAGCAATGGTGATAAAATATTCTGATAATTTTGATATGATTTTTGAACATCACAAAACAGGCCAGTAAAAAGTCACAACAAAAATAAAAGCAAATAGTAAGAATAAAAGAAAATACTAAGACAATGCAGCTGCATAATTTATTCATGTGCCATGGATGAGTTATGGGAGCCATGGATGAGTTATGATTGGTGCACCATTGTTGAGAAAAAGTGCTATATGGCACCTCTTATTTGACAATTTGACATTTGTCAAAGATGTTATATAGCGCCTGTAAAAATAGGGGTAACACTTTAGAATAGGGGTCCAGAATAATGCATTAGTTAAGCATTAATTAATGGTTAACTTGTTCACAATTAAGCATTAGTTGAGCACAAACACACTAGTAATTAATGATTAACTTACCATTTAGGGAGCTCAGATTATGCATTAGTTAAGCATAAATAAAGTAGTAGTTAATGATTAACTTGTTCACAATAATGCATTAGATAAGCATGACCACACACTTAATTAATGATTAACTGAACATATAATAAGGGCATATTAGCCATTGTTTACAATTTATTAAACATTTTATAGACACAAATTTATGCTATCAATAAACAAAAATAAGCTAGTAATTAATAATTAACTGAATGTACAGTAAACACATTTTAGCCATTATTTACAACTTAATAAGCCATATATTATTTTTGTGTAGTGATGTAAATATATTTCTATAATTCACCATTTATTAAGTTGACTGAACAATAAGCTAGTAATTATATTTAATTGCTGCTTAAATAAGCCAATAATTATGGCTTAACTGCCATTAATACAGTACTAATAAAGGCAATTTGACCCCCTATTCTAAAGTGAAAGTTATATCCACATTAATTACGGCACTTATTGAGTGATATTCAAGTTTATTGACCATAATAAGCAAATTGTTGCTCACTCTCCCCGCGCACTCGGATCCGCCGCAGAAGAGCAGTGAGCTACGCGCTTACTGAGACAGAATGTTCACTCGAGCATGAGTCTCGCTCTTCAACACTCGCGGACCGCCTTCACGGAAAGCAGCCCAGCTCTCCCCGTGCTCATGTTTCTCTCCTCCCAGCTACCTCGGAGGAAACAACGACGAGCTTGCGGGCTGAACGATTTGACTTGAGCAATCCTCTACACACATCATGCGTGTTTAATCTGCAGGTATGTGTTACAAATGAGGATCGGTGCACCTCATTATACACTGTAAAATCTAATTAGTTGGGCTTACTAAAAAAAAGCATGCAAACCGATTGCCTTGAAAAAACTAAGTAAAGTGAAATAGGAATAGTATGTTGTACTGACAAATGCTTAGTTAGTATAGTTTACTTGCACGCGAGTTCTAGTAACTAAAAAAGAACTGTAGGGGGTACTTGATCCTTTCGTTTAGGTTTACTCATGACTTAGTATAGCTACTCACTGACTCCCAGAGTGCATTGCGGCGTTAATAAATTATGCAGTTGCTTTGTTTTACAGTTTATTTTATTTGCCAATTTTATTTCAGTAGTCATTATAGTCAGTAGTAGCAGAATAAAAAGAGCAAATAAAATGGTTATTGTTACAATTAATTAAAATAAATTAAATTGAATTGTTACCATTGTTGTGATTCTCGTGCTGAATGTTTAAGTAGCTACTCACTGACTCCCAGAGTGCATTGCGGCATGAATAAATTATGCAGTTGCTTTGTTTTACAGTTGTTGATTTTATTTGCTGTCTTGTGTCAGTAGTAGCACAACAAAAAGAGCAAATAAAATGGTTATTGTTACAATTAATGAAAATAAATGAAATGTAATTGTTACCATTGTTGTGGTTCACGTGCTGAATGTTTAAGTCTGTGTGTGACTTTTGCATATTACCACACACTATTTGAGAATTATATAAATCAAATTAAAAGCATCTCAAAGTTTTTATGAAAAACAAAATTAGTTAAAGTTTTAAACAAAGTTATAAACACACACAAAAAAATTCACTAATGCTTTAATTAGAAGATAGGTCAACTTCTAAAAGCTACGTATTTATTACTTTTCTTCCCTTGAAATCAAATAACTCTGACTTCATGATGCATTACTACATTAACAGGAAGAAAATTATAGTAACATAAATTAAGTTCCAAGTGCCCAACCAAAGGGAACGCTAATCACTATAATGGTGAATAAAAAAAACACATTTTAGGAAAATCAACATCAATTTATGAAGTTAGCTTATGTGATGTTCTCTCAAATATTTCAGTTGTATTGAGAATTCAACATTCA